AGCCTTTTTCATGTATTAAATGGCAAGCAGGAGAAAATGATATCGACTTCGTTTGTATCCAATTAATAGTTCATTGATTCTCCATAATGGATATTTTAAAACCCAGCTTTATATTGAAAATATTTCTCGACCAGTCTTTGTTTATAGTCTCCACCTCTACATATCAGACTATTAATCTTTAAAAACAGTTTCGCTGTCGATGTTTTTAATATTTCAGGCAAACACTGGTGTGTTTTGTTGCTGCTGTTCGAATTAAAGGATGAAATGATATGGCACTTTCTGGCAATAAGCATAAAACAACAGTCTTACATAAAAATACATTAAAAAGGGGTTTTAATTTAAGAAATAATTTGTTTGAGGCTTTAATAATACACACCCAACAAACCTAAAAACGCCCAAAATGTAAACGCCTTCATGTTAAACCAAATAGACCATCATCATCATGAGAGAACCTCCGTATTATATTTTAAATGTTCCTCATTCGCATCCCCCGTTCGCACCCAGACCGTGCGCTCTGCGGTGACGTTCCCCATTTAATCTCGGGTTGTACCGGAGTAAATAAAACGCTCGATTTGCTGAAAACATGTAACAGTGGCGCAGATGAAAGCGAGTCAGTGGGTGGGATTGGCTGAAAGCTGCTGATCGCTCTCTCAACAGGACAGGAGGCTTTACACTGACAAATAAAACTTTCAAATAAGACAGTCCTAATGTTTAGGATGAAAGCACGGTTGTGTTATTACGGGTGGGGGGTGATGGTGATGTTGGTGAAGTTTGGGGGGGTGGGGTAGGGTGGGGGGATTATTCGGGCGTTTTACTTCCTAGCAATGAATAAATCTATGGTTTGATCAATATAATCAATAACCGTACATCTGAGAGGTGTGACAGAAAGTGATTGACGCCAAACTGTTTCTCGCCTGCAGTAGTCCGTCCAGGGCGGGAGAGGGCCCGTCTCACCGCACACAAAGCCCGATCTCATCCGTCCGTCCAGGCGTCGACTAGCAGCAGAACGGTGCGGTTGGTTCACCGTCTGCCCCCCTCCCTCCCCTCCCTCCCCACCCCTGTCACAACACACACACACACACACAGACATTTTAAAGTTAGACTGAGGACACCTTAGGAAACATGGCTTTAATTGCTTTTTGTTTATGTTTGTGTTTCTCTGCATTTTGAGTCATTAACCTGCCTTTTCATATCACTCACACACACATATTAGGCTACAGTAGATGGATAAATGGCCTTTTCGGTGTGACTCTCATCCATTTATTGGCTTTCATCTCTGCTTAATCTCAACGTGATACCTGGAAGGATCCAGCTGCCACCTGAGATGCTCATGTTTCCTCCTGCACATTCAGCAAATCAAAAAAAAAATCCTATTGTTAGCTGGAATTAGAGATCTGTGTTAATTTGACTGTAACACAGTTTTTATTATCATTTTAATGATTGGCTGCCAGTGTTAACCATTCAAAAACATGAAAACATGCTGGGTTAATGACTGCTTCACTGTGCAGAATGATGCATGTGCTGAGTTTTACACTAAGGTTGTTCCTGCATTTATCTGCTGAAGGTGGAAAGGTTCAACTATGGTCTAATGTGCAACTCACACAAACTGATGAATGGACTTTAACTGATGTAACCGCCAAAACTTTCTATTTGGAAAACAAATAATTTGAGGAAAGACCATATCAGAATACTTTTATATTCAATAACAACACATCAGGGGTGGGGGGGGGTTATCTGGCACTACTCTGTATGAACATGTGTTATCTGATACATTGATTTTTGTCAGTCATCTTGCTTTTATTGTAAATTTATGTCAGGCACTCTCATGCTGTAATATAACAGACAAAAGTCAACTAGCATCGTCCTGCGCCCCTCATCTTCGTGTAAGTGCACAGTCCTTGACAGTGAAAGGTGGAGTGGAAATAACAGCAGCCACTTAAGTGATGAAACAGAGCTGCTCTTAAGGGAGGCACAAGTGCAACTTAACATGCTCCACAACTGGCGAGTTAATCTGTGGATCAGCAAGAAACTGAGATTAAGCCCAGTGGCAGCTGCTTGATTCCTTTAGCATCGTTGACACCAGGACATATGAAAGCACATGAGCAGGTGTCACTTGAGACTACTGAGTGTCACCACTTGGCTCTTATGAAAAACCTGTTTGTAATGAGCAACTAAAGTAGCCTGTAATGGTTTGGTTCTCAAGAGAAGTTGCTTTAATGAGCAGCTCCCTCTTTCCTCCCTGTGGCCCTATTCACTGCTGTGGAAGGAGATGTTCAAGGGGCCAGGCGTTTCTGATTATCTGAAATATATACTGCCCACAAAGGTCCTGGCCTGGTGCTAACTCCTTGGTTTTACTTGATTAGGATGGTGGCTGTGTTGCTCTGCAGGTCTGTGAGCTGCAGAACTGCATTAGAGCTGATAGAGGAGAACCAGAGTGGTGTTGGCTTGTAAAATGGCCGGTAGCACAAATTGTTCGAAAACAGGCATTACATATTAAATTATCACTATATTAGCACTAGTATTCAGTCATTACATTAGGGAGTATTGAATTTGGTTTGAGACAGCACTTAGAGAGCCGCGAGGAAATTCTGGCATGGCTGGGCTTGAACCAATTGAATAAACGTTCCATGAAATGGTTCTGAAGTGCGGATCAATCAATATGGGGGCTATCAATCTGAGGGCAAATTAAAACAATTGAGAAAAACAACAAGAGGAAAACAATTGAAGAAGTGAAGGAGGGATGGAGTGATGTATCTGTGGAGGCTCTGGTGTAGGGGCAAACCTCCGTTCTGCTGAGGGAAAATATCTTATAATTATGCTTTGCTTGCAGTAATAAAGTGTGAACAATGGCAATTCAAACACATGCACGTTCACACACAAGCATGCATACACATGTGCACGTTCATATTGATCTCCCCTCACAGTCAAATCTGTTTACTGCTGTTGTCTAAACCTGCTGTAAAGTCATCAATCATTTGCATACACTACCTCCACACTACAGCTCTCCCTCCTTCCCTTCCCCTCATCCTCTCCTCTTGAATTCCCTTCCTCCCCCATACCTGTGCACAGACACTTCAAGATTGCGATAAATATCATTCTTAACTTTGTTTCGTACTCTCACGCACTTCAGCAGACAACATTTCATGCGCGCGTAAAGAAACGGATAGATTTGGGGGGTATACAGTACATATGAGAGACATTCCTCCAGAGCCCTCAGACTGGATGACTGCCACATCTCCTTTGTTCTCCCCCAGACAAACAATTTCTCCACCATCTGTCTGTCACAAAGCGCGGTCCCGAACTATCCCCTCCAACGCGAGCCGGTGAACGCGCTCACACATACACATAGGGTGTACTCATACTGAAAACACACACACACACACACACACATAGGGCGTACTCATACTCTAAGCGCACACACACATACACCTCAGTCTCGCGGATCGATGAGGATCGATCGGGTGGGGAAGGGAGCCCTGATTACTGGACCACGTGTTCGGGAGAAAACCGCGGAAAATCGATCATTGCAGCTTTTTAGGGCAGCAGAACAGAACAGACTCCCTCCAGTCTCCACAGCCAGAGCCGAGCATACTGACGGTGCATCCAGGCACGGCAGACCGCTCCTTTGTCAGCATTTTACATCTCCTCCAGTTTCAACACAGACTCACAGACCCACAATGAAAACAGTTTATCCACTTCAACCTCATTGTCTTAAGAGAATTTGACCATTAGACCCGGAGACTACAATTAAACGAAATTGTTTACACTGAATAAGAACAATTAAACTCATCCGTCCACATTTAGCCACTGTATTAACTTTAAAGGACCCAACTGGTGGTTGCAGCCCATTATCCACGAACTATACTGATGACCATTTCCCAAGCCTTCTATAAGTTTTAGGATTGATTTCCTATCCTGCAGGCGGTTTCACCTCATTTCACTGCATTGTGAGAATCAACTTGCAGATATTTGAAACTTGCTTGAAATCCACCCCAATGCACAATTAGTCTCCACAATATTTGTTTCTAATATCTTTGTCATAATCTACTGCCGATGTAAGCAGGGAACATTAAAAGGCATTTGTTCGGCAATTAGGTCGACAGGCACACGTCGACTGAAAAGTGTGATTGTGCATTCACACGCTACGTGCACGCATACTCACTGTAACAGTTATAATATCAGCTAAAATAAGATGTCCGATGTGACATCTTGGGATGTCCTTGAACACACACCAAGAGGTTCCAGTTAGGTTCCCTTGTTGCTGGTGGACTGTAACACAGTGCAATTGAACTGTTAGCTATCAAGCAAGTTTCAGATGTCCGCAAGTTGACATATCATAGTGAAATAAATGCAAAACAAACGCTGCCTGGAAGCTGAAGAATTAATCTAAACATAAAGCATGATAAAATAAAATAATGGGCTTATAATAAAAGCTGATTGGGGTGGTCTGGAACTCCACTTGGAAAGACTGGTTTAATTTAGGCTAACATATTTTGGAAAGTGGTCCGATATTTCAGTCCTGAGTTTAAGAATCTGAAGGTCACAGAGATGTTTTTATTTGGGCCTTTGCACTACTCAGTGTCCACTCACTGACTTGATGCTTTCTTTTCTTACATGTCACATATACGAGTTACTTTACTTTCAGAATTTAAATCAGAATCTGCTTTACTGGCCAAGTATTCTGAACGCACAAACTTGTGCTTATCTCCTCATATTCATAATATCATTTCCATTTAAACAACGAATTAGCCTATTTACATTTACATGAAATACAAGACATGAGTCCATCTAACATTTTGCTTTCACATCCTGATTTGCCCTGATTTCAGCTTTGATTTCTTATGTCATCAATGGGTGTTTGAGGCATCCTACACTGATACTGTTGCATTATTTTTTCTTCCCACCCAAATTCTACCTTTGAAGGCTATATTGTAAACTCATAGTAGTCTATACAGTATTATGGTGGACGTCACATTTCTCTGTTGCTGTGTCCTCTTCAGCATGTAAACGTAAGGAGGAGGACCGCGGAAGAGAGCGGAGCCAGGTGCCAAAGAAGCAGCGACTGGTCTTCACCGACCTGCAGCGCCGCACCTTGGTAGCCATCTTCAGAGAAAACCGCCGCCCCTCCAAAGAGATGCAGCTCACCATCTCCCAGCAGCTGGGCCTGGAACTCTCCACCGTGTCCAACTTCTTCATGAACTCACGCCGCCGCTGTCCGGACCGCTGGGACACAGAGGAGCACAGTCACGGGGTGCACGGCCACGGCCACATGCACACTCCTCACGGAAACAGCAGCAACAACAACGCCTCACCGATCCAGCCCGGTACCTCCTCTGCGACCACGTTCTCCAAGGCCTGACGATGGCTGGGGCAGACGCATGGAGGATGGAGGAGGTGGTGGGCTCTGACTCTGATCCCGCAGAGCTACAGGGTGTGTAGCTCCAGATCGCTTATCTGATTCATCGGCTCAAAGTGCTGACGACTTGTGCAGATGAACCAGATCTTCTCACTGCTCCATTTGTGTTTTCATTTCACCTTACGGGGCTAACTTGCATTTCAACCAAAGATCCAGTAGCTTTAAAAGAGTTTCCCCTCAAACAACCACACGTGGCTCTTTTTAAATCCACCTGAAAACCAAAGAAAATCCACCTACCACACCGTGGGCTTGTGTTAAATCCTTTAAAAGAGCGGGGATTGCTTTAGGAAGCCGTGCTGGTTTATCTCTTGTCAGGAAGTAAACACACCAAAGAATCACTCATGACAGGGAGCCGATAGCTTTAAGACCCGAAACTTTGCGCAGCAACGCGTTGGTCTTTCCAATTCAGACATCGGGAGTGTGATCAACCACTCCTCGTTTCACCAACAGATGCTGCTGATGATTGAGAGGCACGTTTGTGTGTCAGGTGCCAGTGAAACACTCTCGGCAGATCCTTTAACACTGCATGTGTGTGTGTGTGTGTGTGTGTGTCGTGCGTAAATGTTCAAATGCCGCGCGCGCTCCAAGTGTGTTCATTCTCTCTGCAGTGGTTCAGGCTGCTGAGCGTCAGAGTAACAGCGCCACCTGCTTTCCAAATGAACCGCATCTGAGAACATGTTCAGAGCATGCTGGTGTAGTTACAGCTCATAACAGAGGATGGCCTACAGTGTAGATTTCTGCTAGGATACAGACACCAGTAACTGCTCTGCATAAACAAGTGTAGCCCTGCACACACACACACACTCAGACACAATTATACAGCACGATTATCCACACACCTTTTGACACATCTTTGAATGTTGGTTTCTTAAGACTTGTATGACTACATGGCCATCCACCATGTAGCCACTTGAGAGGTTATTTTCAGGTTACAAAAGGAGAACAATCAAACAGGGATGATGCTCCCCACGATCAGAAGTGTCGTTCCAGAGTGTAAGGGGGGTGGGGTTGGCGGTGGAGGGTCTGCTCTGTTCTAGTGGCCAAACACAGAGGTCAAATGTCACAATATACTATAGGATCCTGAGTGCCAATGATGTTTGCCTCTTTATGATAATCAGAGAACAGATGCAGCCTGCTCCATCGCCGTGCGCCCCATCGTGTCTGGCCTGTGTCATGACAACCTTCAAACTGCGAGCACTATATGGGCACGCTGCCTTTTCCATACCTCAGAAAAACATTGATGTGATCCACATGAAACACACTGAAAATGACTGTAAATAATCTTTAATTTCATCTCTGTCTTATCTATTCTCTATTTATCTACTCTCTTGCTACTCCCCTTATTGTGTCTTTCCTTTATTTTGTCCCCCTTACTATTGATGCGGGTAATAATAGTACCATAGACACATGGTTTTACTCTCATGACTATTGTGCTATGTTGTGCTGAAACTATATGTAAAGAAGCACCTTGTTGACAAAATGATTAAACATAACAAATGAAAAAAAGAAGAATCAAAATGTCACAGATTGTTCCTATGCACAGACGATACCACAAGTGACAAACTGTGCATATATGTCAATACCTGTGCGATGGAATAAATGGACTGTCTGGAGGTGAAGGACCTCTTCCTTGATCTCTGAACTTTGACCCGTTTGAACTTGACTGTCACTGCATTCCTCTGCTGATGGTGTTTTGGTTACCATGAGAACCACCTCATTTCTTTGTGTCTTTTTGTTTTATTTGTGGGCAAAGCCACTTTGTTGTGTAGCATTCTTCTAGCGGGAGATAATCATATTAGAGAGGAGACGCAGGCAGGAGGAAGAAGGGTGCAGCCGGAGGGGCAGAGGCCCATCACCAGACTGGCAGGAAACATCTGAGTGACATTCCACCAGAGTTTGGGTTCTGGTCATTACATAGTGCACTATAACAGATTCCCTGTTGGAGCTGTCATTTAGGACTTTGTCTAGAAGCAAGAGGGGGAAAAAGCTTTGTAGGTTTTTAGCGCAGATGTTTGAAGTTCAGACCCAAAGTGGACAATTAGTGGTGGAAACAGTTGTGTGTGTGTGGCTACCTCACAGAATAGAGTGGACTGTGACACAGCCATCAATACCAAAGATACTTCACAACGTGTTCACACTGGACCTGGGACATGCACACAAACAGAAATGTTACATGCAGATTCAGAGACGTATTCAGAAATGCTTTTAAGTGCACACATACAGTTTACACTTGCACAGAGTAGTCGTGCTGCATGGCAGACACACGGAGGTGTTTGTTATGTGGGGAGAGTTGAGTGCCTTGTTTCTTCAACCAGGGGTTGGACTGCTCTGAGCGCGCACACACACACACACACACACACACACACACACACACAGTGTTTAAAGTGGAGGGGGGCACACTCTGGGTGAAGGGGGGTAACACTGGAGGGGTCCTCAAAGCCACTCTAGTTGTGATTCAAAGCACTTTTTTTCCACAAAACAAGGGGGAAAAGACTGTTTACCGCCACCATTTTGTTGTTGTTTGCATATTTTTTACATGCTGGTGAGAAGATAACATTTCACGGAGTCCTCGCCACAGTGCACACATGCACAAACACTCTCACCAGAGATATTTTTGTGTAATTTGTAATCTGAGTGTAGGTGTGTGTGTGTATCTCGACTGTTTATATAGCCCTCTGGTCCCGCTCTCTCATTGGCTCTCATCTAAACTTAACCTTTCTAAAAACCAATTAATGGCCAGTTAATACAGAAATGATTAGACCCTTCGTCGCCTAACGACCCACACACCCGTTGGTGACCCCCATCCATCCAAACCCTCTTCACTGGTCCCTCCATTCAGGGTAGCATCGCAACCAGGCAGGCATGTGTAGACAATTCATCTTGATATACCTCAAATCTTTATTGTAAAGGTTATGTAGTGAAACAGTATTGACAATGTTTAGCAATGAGAGTGATAATTAAAGTCACAGCAAAATGGTTCTCCTGTTTTATTTCTTTAACAAGAGTACAAAGTGCAAACTGGGTCTTTTGAGTTATTGTTTGTAGTTTTGCACGTTGTCCTTTTCGAGAGAGACTAAAAAGAGGAGTAAGAAATCAGAAAGAACAGATCATAGGGATGAAATGAGAGAAAAGGGATCATGAATACAATGTAAGATGTAGTAATTGTTAAAATAAAGAATGACACATCAAGGACACCCCAGTTTATGTTCTGCATCTCTTTAAGGCTTTTTTTTGTTTGGACATTGTCCCCTATGTGTGTTAAAGTGATTCCCATATAAAAAGAGATCCAAACAAAGCACCTCTGTCATTAGTGGTGGGATGAAGGATTTTTTTTTAATGCATGGATACTATATACGTGTATATAAACTGCAGGATGAACTGCACCTCTACAGGTGGAGGAGAGGGGGAGAAACAAGGAAAAAAAACTACTGGGATCTGGTTTCCAAGTAATCTTCTTTTTAGCTCTGTGTCTTTTACGTGCTTTGTGTATTTGTATAAAGTATGTGTAGTTGTATTAGCTTCATTACTATGTCTTTACTCCCTCCTTTGTGTGGAGATAAACGCCACACTTTCATGTCTGTATCTATATTTACCCTTTCTTTCATCAAATAGGTGAGAGTGTGAGTTTGTGTGTGAGTTTCTCTGTTTTATTCCTGTATTTCAGCTCATCTTATCTGGGTGTTTGCTTGCTTTTTTTTTTTTTTTTAGCAGTCTAAACAAACAGATAACCAGGCAGCTGAAATACAGCTCCTTCCAGTGCATCAAAATGGCGTCATTTGCTTTTTCAGTCAGACAGACCTCAGAGCTCTGGAAGCCCCAGTGTCGATGTTCTCTCCCTCTTCCCTTACCAATCAATCAATCAGAACCAAGTGTCTTTGTGATGGTAGAAGACAATCAATTTCAAATAGAGCAGAGACAAAAAAAAAAAGAAGGAGGGAGAGAAAAGAGAGTGATGGAGGAAGGCAGAGAAACTGACTGGACAGGAGCAATGGGAGGGAAAGGAGGAAGGGTGGCTCTCAGGGAGATCAGCGTATGTGTGTGTGGTCACCTTTAACATCTGCAGAGTGACCTTTACGGTGGGGGCTGAGGGACCCGGGACCCTCAGCCATGGAGGTGGTGGTGTGGGTGGGGGATCTGACTTGTTAAGTGGACATGTAATCGAAGACGTTGATCAAATGCCTATGTACAGAGAGCGCATACACACACATGCATACAGCCATTATGCAGAGAGCCATTCTTCAGAGCTTCATCTCCCAGTAATACAGTGAGCCTGTCAGTCACAGTGGTCTGCCTTCAGCCTGTGGAGGGAGAATCAAGTAATAACTGGAACAATTAATATAACCAGTGAAAACCAGTATGGGTATATCGTGTGTTTTGTCTCAAACAAATAAAGAACAAGCGACTGGCTGACTGGCTTTTCATTCTCTGTGATTGTTTCCCTCTGTGGTGCTCTGCTGCCATCTAGTGGCGTATAATAATACAGCAGCCTATTTCTATAGGTTGGTCTAAATTTGTCAGCTTTATTCGCCAAGTATGTTGCGCATATAAGGAATTTGTCTTCGGCATGAAGGCTCTCAGTTTGTTTTAGCAACAGGCAATGGAGTAGAGAAAACAGGGGCAGAGGGGAGGCAGCATTCATAAATATTATATAAATATATTTGAGCTATCAGACTGGTGCATGTGGCAGGCTCTATCTATTCATTTATGTATTTGTTAGTTTAAATTAGAGAAAATGTTCAAGTCTTCTTCACACTGCCAGGAATAAAGTTCTTAAAAAAAACAACTGAAGTCTTTATTTATTTATTATTTTGTCAGCGTAAAAGTAGTCACATTTAAATGATTATGAGTTGTCATATGTTTGCGTCTGTTTGGATATATTTTCTGTAATTCTTTTTAATTTTTATCATTCTGCACTTCCAGGGATTCAATGATGAAAAATGAAATCCAAATTCTAAAAACACTT